GTTTTTCCTTTCAAATGAGCTGTGCATAGGGTCATGGTGTAGGCCTTCAAAAGGCCCTACAACCTGTAAGGCCTTACAGGTTTTACAGCCCTTATAGCCCTAAACCTTTTGCACTCCTTTCAACCCTCCCCCTCCCAGCACTCACCGCAGTACGTGTAGATGGCGTTGTAGTCCAGGAATCGCACTCAGAGGTTGTGCGATCTCGTGGAGGAAGCTTAGAGACATCAGGTCGTTCTCTCCCTCCAGGATGTCAGGGTTCCCCAAAGGTGGGGGGTCGGCCGGGGAAGGCACCGGGTAGTCCGCCACCTGTTAGCGGACATGTCGTACACAGTTCACTGAAAACACTCCAATCCAACGACCGGCATTTACTTCACCTGTACGCCTACATTGCCTTTCCATCACAGAGCTTAAGCTGCAGGTGCTTCACTGCAGGACTGTAATCGTGGACGACTTGGCCTGACGCCCACACCGACTCCGGGTCCGGATTCCAAACACTCGCACCCTGAAAAACACACACCCACGCCATTACAGAACACAACAACTCCCGTCTTCGAGGTCACCACCTCACATGACACGCACTGAGTGACAAGGATCTCTGCATCAGCCAAAAGGGACATCGCAGCACCTGACTCGAGCCTAGCCAACACATTTGTCAGCATAAACGGCTCCTCAACCGTCTTACACATTAACACCTCTCATCCTTCTCTGCTTCTGTCAGCCAGTCCACGCACACACCTGATCAATACAGTCCTGCTACTTCAGCCCAAAAACACCTACACCTGCCCACTGAATAGTCACACCCATTACTCTCAACCACTGCATTTCACACACTTAACGTGTCACCTAACACTTAACATTTCACACATCTCATCGACTCCAAACCTACATATAAATTACAACACTTTCATAAAGGAGCCACAAATACAACGCTCTGATAACTAACAATTACACCACACGTCACTACATCGCACAGACACTCGCCATGTCCCCTATTTCCAAGGATGTGACAAACTACGTGCACTACACCTCTGAACGGTCAAATATAGGTCTGTGTCCCCGCGTCCCGCCCAGTGCTGCACTGAAAACCTACACTTCTCTCTCTTCTGTGAAACTGAGACCTAAACACTGGACGGCTTTTTGTACTTTGCCCACATAAAACTGCACAGTCAGCATCACGTTACATTACACGTCCCGTTTCCATAGAAAACCTGCTACACCACAAACAACTGCAGTTACCAGACTTACTTGCAAACACACCTTGGACTACGCAGCCCCACGACAACTGTTCACCAATCACAGCCACATCACTTTTCCTCATCAAACTCCATCTGCTGACTCCCAGCTTTTCAATCATTTCCTAACCTACTTGGCCCATTCACTTACACTACTTACTGCTGCTTCAACGACGGCCCCGAGCCCCTTCGCTTTGGTGATGGACACATGACGTCAGACTCGAGTCCCCGTGCACTAGATTGTTTGCGAATGACATTGTGGTCACAGTAGGCAGCAGTGCTCCTCAAACCGTGGTACGCGGGGAACTTTTGCTTATTCTACTCCAGGGGTGTTTTGCAGGCATTTAAGTGGGTTCTTGTCCTAAAACAATGACCCCTGATATTATAGCTGTGACTCCACTTACCTTAAATCTCCACAGTCCACCAATGTCATCGCTGCTTTCAAAGCAGACAGGCTCCAAGCCTTCATCGAGACAGGCCTTGACACAGGTTAGGCCTGAGCAGCCCGCTCCAACCTCTGCCACTCGTCGAACCTTCATCGAACAATTCTTTAGGGAGTGGGTATGAGAAGAAAATAAAAGAACAGATCAAAACTCATGAATGTGTGAGTTCTCAGTAACCATGTTCATCTTATCCAAAGATACGTTTCTTAAAGACCCAGATTGGGTGGTCATCCCTGAGGTGATACGCTGGGCTCTAACACCCCCCCCCCTCCCCTCCCACACACACACACACACACCTCAACCCATATGACCACATTCCTCCACTTTTGTATTGGGTGTGGACATCTCCCTTGTTCTCTCTAACAACCTTCTCTTTATGGTTTTCAGCTTCTCCAACATTATCAGTTGCCACTGTTATAACTTGCTTTGTTTTTTTTATATAATTGTTATAAAAATGGGTACAATAACCCAGCAAGGGACAGTGAGCGAGACAGCGCAAATATAGTTTTTGTTCATATACTCAAGTCAAGAGACCCTCCAAAATCTTGAGCAGAAATCATTGTTTCTGTAACACATGGATGAAAAATACCCTGAACAGTACACAAGTTACCATCCAATAAGGCTCCTATGTGTTGACTCTAAAATTGTAGCAGTTACAATACAAAAAACACGTATTTTTGGATTTATTGTAGGCCTACAGGTTGCAAATAGTATAAGGAGAGAATTTTAAAAAACAGTTACATTTACAATCAACGACAATGAAGAATACTCAACTACCAATGCTCCTTAGCTTAGATGCAGAGAAAACTTTTGAACGAGTGGATTGGAACTTTCTGGAACACTGAACAGAAATGTGAATTGGAGAAACATTTAATACTTTAACAAAACATTAATGCACCCTTTTAGCCTCAACTTCATTCACATTCATTACACATTACCTTAGTGTTGGATACGAGGCAAATAAATGCATATGATTCTGTCATGTTCTTATGAAACTTAAAAGTGATTTCCTCACCACACTCGCGTCACCGATGCTCTTCGTTCTAAATTCTGTCAAACCTCGAGCATACGCCGCAATAACGGAGAAATGTGCTCGCTTTCCTGAGGTGGGAGAACCGGTCGTTGACGGACTTCACCGGGGATCAAACGTAAAATAATAATAAGACCAATTTTTTTCTAGTTATTTATTCTTTTACAACTGGGTGCATTTACATTTTATCTTTAAATGTTCATTAATGTACGTTGTCCCTCTATAACAAACACATAAATACAAACTACTGTCGTACTTCACGGCTCTCGTTACGTGTAACACTATACATTCCTTCCTACGGAACCCTACCATCTTATGTAAGGGGGCTAGTTCAGAGGTTGTCCTGGGACTGCCACTCTTTTACTTCACTTCGGGCTTCCCTTGAATTGCTCTAGTGCCTCCTAGGGGGATAAGCAGCTAGTAAGTGTTTAATTTCAATCTTACTTTTGCTTACATAAAAATAAAACCAAGCTAATTGACTGTCACTCACATTTTAGCTACTACTTATGTATTTTTAATGTGCTATACATTATTTAAAAAAATAAATAATTAATTTTGATTGACTCTCAACAACTGTGGCCCTGCTTTTAACAGTATTTTTACGGAGTTTTTTTTAACTAACTGCAATGGAGTATTTGGAGCATGCTTACATGACTTCTGGCTAGCATTCTTACGAAGATTAGAATGCTTTACAATAATAAATACGCCTTAAATATTCGTGAAACACATGCAAAGCGGTATGATAAAGTATCAGGTCAAATCGGGTCAATTGGAATTGATTAACTCTGTCAGTATAACATATGGTAATGGTGCCACTAACCTGTCCTTCAGGTCACTGCTCTTAAGATTAAATATTTGTTAGGCCGCACGCCCCCATTTCAGACTGGCCTTAGACCTTAGACATCTATGACAAGCCATTGTATCCAGTGTGGATGTTGTCTATTTGATGTCAACTGTCAATATATATAACAAAGCCAGTGTTAGGAAATCCAAGGCTAACTATACTATATCTTCAGGGATGTCAAACTCATTTCCAGGGGGAGAATAGTTACAGCTGTAACTACAACATAACATATTAATACATGTTTCCGAAATTGATTAGTATTCATGTATGTTACAAATAGTGTACATTGCCCTGTGTAGTGATAACAAATTAAAAAGTTAAGAAACCCAACAGCTCTTTTTGTCTTAATAAATAAAATGAATAATCAATCGTCCAAATTGCATTTTCATTTTCTTCCTCAACACACAAATCAAAAATAAAAGGACTTTTCAGATTTCATTTTCAAAACTTGCAAGTAGCAAAACTCATTTTAAAATGGCAAATTTGAAAATTAAAATGCATTAGCAGAATGTGTTTACAAAGCATGGACTTTGTTATAAGGCAAATATCACATTTTAAGCTCCCACAGGTGACCCGCGTTTGGCCCGCGCGCCTCGAGTTTGACACGTGCTCTAAACCTCTAAACATTTACATTCGGTTCTTTATCTGACCATGTTTAATAGCCTTCAACAAAGATAAGTATGACTACAACACTTAGTAAGTCTACCGAAGGTTGGGTTCACGGACAGTTCATGTGGGAAAAAAAAATTACCTCTGTTCAATTCAATGAAATGTAATACAAGAAGAATTTTGAGATTTCTTTTTATTCAGAGTTGGTAAGTTCCCAGTGTATTAAGTATGAAATTACGTATATACTGCAGTGTACACTTAGTTACTATAGTGGTTACTCGGTAGGTGGCAAGAAAGTCACTGTTTCAGAGATTCAGCAATATCATTTCTTCAAACTATAACCAGACACCATTCAGATCCACTGCACTTTTGGTCACCGCTATGACTGACTCAATCACTTCACGGGCCCAAATTTAAAACACGTTTTAGCACCATGAATGTTGTTAATGGAAACTGCGCATAAACATATATTTGAGTATAACTGGTATTGGATAAATAGGATAAATAGATGTGCCAATTTTCACGTACTTTAATATGTACTTTAACAACTCCTGTTTGCAAAATACACATACAGGGGTACTCAGTTTCAAGGTGGCCATAAGATAAACATTACAATGAAAGACTGTCGTATTTTGCTGAAATGACAGTAATTTGGCACTGCAGCGTGTTTATTTTTACCTTTACAGGCTTGATGCTAATGTGGCTGTAACAACTCAAACTCAAGGGCCACTACTGTGATATTTACCTCTGTGTCGAATGTTCACTAAAAAAGGACATTTCATGAACTGTAAAATACTGCAAAATAATACAAATTTGGGGGGCCCCTGAGCCAGGATTTGGAGATTCGTGCTTTATAGATTCTACATATATACATTTAGCGTTGATGATTTGCAGTGAAGCTAATGAAGAGGTGAAGTGATGTTATTATTGTTACTGAAAGATAATAAACTGTGTAGGCATACATGTGGTCATATGAGATGTGCTAAGAAACCCTTGATCCTTTCAGTTTTTTTGCAACCCACGTCAACCCTATGTTTCACCTTCATCTGACCTACTGTAGTCCTGTGATCAAAGCTGTTTTCCTTGACTGATTAAGAACTCATCATGCAGCATGTTTAGGCTGCTTGGACGTGGATCTTATCTAGGATGCGCTGAACGGCGGCTGGATGTTTAAGGTAAATGTAGTAGGCAGCAGCTCCTGCTACTGATAGGGTGAATGTCATTTTGATCAGACGGCCAGTCAAAGAGGGCTCCGGCTCTACCAGCTGAAAAAAAGACAAAAACACTAAAAGTTAAAATTAAGTTTACAATTTCCTTTGATTGAAACATTTTAAGACATTGTGATATAAAAGACAAATAAAAAACCCATCTGACACCTTTCTGGTTTTTAGGGGCTGGTATACACGATCCATCTGGGTAAAGATTGCTTTACGAGCCCCGTCCCACTTTCCAGGTCCTGTTAAACGGTACTGGTAGGTTGTCACAGGTCCCCACAACAACTTCTTAAAAAGCGGGTAGTCAGTAAAGAAGAGCCAGAGCAAACTTGGTCGCGCCCCAATCTCTCCAGCTAATTCGTCCATGTAGGAAACAAAGTCCACCTGCAGGGGTGTCAGCTTTGACACAATGTAGCTGACGGAAAGACAAACGGCTTATTAAAACCCCAATTCGGTTTTCCTAGTTTTGCTCAATCAATTTTGCTGATTCTGGATCTGGCACAGATAAAAGTGAGATTGACAGACAATGAATACATCGTCTCAAGTTTTGCTGTGACTTAATATTTTGTTATAAGCTAGAACGGCATAAAACTTTAATCTCAGCTTGTGAGTCTGTTAATCCATGCAAAATGAAATGTGACCAAGTCATGTAATCATTTACTAAGAGAAAAAAAAACAAACAAAGACATGATAAGACAACCAGTAATAAAAAAACAAACGTTTACTTATTCTCCATTTTCTTGGTGTCCGCTTCTACGGACTTGATCATGACCTGGTTTGAGGGAAGCTTACAAATTCCTGAGGAACAACCAAGGTAAAATTTGAAAACTGACATAATATTCAAAATCATGTACCACATTTTCTGGACTATAAGTCACACTATTTCTTCAACCTTTGGCTAGGTTTGCCACTTATACATTACAATATTATTGAAATATGATTTCACATGTTTGTTATTTTCACACAAACAGCCGCTAGAGGGCACTCTAGACTTCTGTTCCTGTATCTGCTACTCCTGTACCACTGAAATTTACATGTTCGTTATTTTCACACTGACAGCCGCTAGAGGGTGTGACTTATAGCCCCAAATAATAAGCTATGTCATTTGAACAGAACCGTACATACCTTTAAAGACACGAGTGACCCAGCGAACTTGCATTTCAGCCTGTGGCATAATGGCTCCAAGAGCGTGGATGAAACCCACAACAGCCAGAGTTGGATGCTCAATGTTTGGGGGGAAGATGTGCTTGTACAGACCCACACGGTGGCCAGATTTGTACATGACATTACTTGACAAGAACGGAAAGTCATAGTTGTACCCTGTGGCAAACACAATTGTGTCCACCTGTAAGAACAAATACACAAGTAAGGAATCGGTTAGCACGAAGAACACATTGAGCCGTGCCACTTCGACGACACGGTGTACCTTCTCCACAAAAGTGCCATCAGTAAACACCACAGTGGAACCTCGGATCTCTTTAATGTTTGGCTTGATGACAACTGCGCCAGAGAGAATCTTGAGGGGCAGGTCATCGTTGATCACAGGGACCTGACTGAAAAGTCTAAAGGGTGGAAATGAGAAAAAAATGAACAAAAACAGACAAAACAAAAACAAGCCTCACATTTCCTTTGTAAAATGACCACAACTTTTTTTTTTTCATTGCATTTTAATGACTTTTCAGTCTTTGACTGACAGCTATTAAAAAGCTTATGAAAGTTTATAAAGACTTGAAGGTAGCGACTCTGTACAACCTACCTGTGGTTCGGTTTGAGGGCATACATAGTGTGGTCATACATGGCGTTGAGTTTGTTCTCTCCGATCCAGTTGAGCACGTTAATGGGCAGCAGTTGAAACAGGATGTGGACGAAGCGTGTGTTGTATTTGACGTCTACGGGAAGGCCGTTGTCAGAAACCTGGCGGATGACCCAGGCCCCACGACGGGTGCTGATGTATACCTGCCCGGTGATGTGAAAATACAACTCACAGCTGGTACACAAACGGGGTTAATCCAACATAAGTCATTTTCATACCTGCTCGGCCACCCTGCTGCTCTCAACGGCGATGTCGCCGCCTGAGTTGCCGATGCCGACGACCACCAGTCTCTTCCCATACATATCCTCCGGTCCCTTGTAGTCCCAGCTGTGGAAGTATTTTCCTTCAAATGTCTCAATTCCTGCGGAACACCGGGATAACATCTATAAGCCACTTACATTCCGAAAGTAAGAGCTTTAATATAAGGTTTAGTTTATTATAGTTCAATGATGAGAGCAGGTTAGCTACTGAGGAGAGGAAGAAGAAGACGAAGAAGAACAACTTGTTTTTGGTGCAACTAATAAGCTTTAAAAATATTTATTTTTAAAATCTACACCAGGCATTCCCAAAGTGTGGGGTGTGTGAGCTGCCACTAGGGGATGTGTGAAATAAACTCACAATGGCAGTTTGGAGTGGTTTTTTTTATTATGTTTGACCAATCCAAACTTTGGACCACTTGTTCCCTCCATACCTCATTATCCCACTCAAACCCTGGTCCAGAGCATCTGTTTGAGCATTTACACAGACACATTTTTTTTACTAAGAATTTCTTCCCGAACTGTAATTCACCTGGAAAGTCTTTAAGCGGCAGGTGAGGAAAGGTGTAATGACCGCTGCAGCAGATCACAGCATCAAAGACGTGCTTCTCCTCCTGTCCGTCTTTGTTCTCAGTCACAACCTCCCACTGACCGGTGCGGGAAAAGTCTGGCCTCTGTCTGACGCACTTAACCAAGGTCTGCAAAGTTTTAGAAGAAAATGACCTCATACAGTAACTGCATTATTTAACTACCCTACTCTGAGTATTGTTACCTGAAAACGAACGTGCTGCAGCAGTTTGAAGTGACTGGCATACATCCTGAAGTATTCTATGATTTTAGAGTGGTGCATGTAGTTGGGGTAATCAGCCGGAATGGGGAAATCACTGTAGCACATCATCTCTTTAGAAATGTTAATGGTAAGAGAGCGATAGATACTGGCTCGGTTTGGCTCCGATACTTCCTGAAGAAAAAGGAAAAACATTTGAACCATTAATACATTTTGAAATAGTTGACATATAAATAGACAGAAGTCATCAAGGAAAAAAAAACCTTTTTTTTGACTTGCCTTAAACTTCCATAAACCGCCCATGTCATCGCTGCTCTCAAAACAGACTGGCACCAAGCCCTCATCCAGACAGGCCTTGATGCTGGTCAGGCCACTGGGACCAGCCCCGATTACTGCTACCTTCCTCACCATGTTGAAGCTGCTGGCAGAAAAAGGGAGCAAAGCCATACTTTGTTTTTATATATATACATATAAACGTATATATGTACTGTATATATATAAAATTGTGAAAATCGGTGAGAATCGTTATCGTTTTATTCCTCAATAATAAAAAGAAAACTCAATAAGGCAACGCTTGATTCTTCAGATATGGTGGAATTGCTTTAAAGAAAATGTTTTTGTACAAACCATGCTAATATGTGGAACGCCTCTAGTGGGGTATCACAATATTTATTATTATTATTATTATATTTAAGTAATGTGTTGATTCCATTACCAGTCCCTAGTTTCATGTTTTTATTTTAAGGTGGACAGTCTTGTTTCTTATTCAGTTCAGTATTTTTGAGTCTCATGAAGATTTTCAGCCTCGATGCATGAAAAAATTCATCCTGTTCCCCCTGTTCTGAATTCAGTGACTGTAATTTGAACAAAATATCTTGCAATATGTTGACAAATTTTGCAATACTACTCTCCAGAGATTCCTACTTTCTGCATCCCTTTCTGATTAGATCAGTGGTGAAGGCATTTGCAGAATGTTCAAAAGTCTCCTTCCTCCTAGAAGAATAGATCCTTCTTTTACTTTGTCACTGATGATCTGTGATATTCTTTTTCAAACCCCAGATACATTTGTCCATGAAAACTTGTCGTCTCTGATTTGAAATCTAAAAACTACTTTGTATTTTTTTGGTTCCCCCTGTAAAATGCACCCCTATCTTTACATTTCCTAAATTTGTCATGTTCCTCTGAACTGACCTGAAATTCATGCACACACCACATTTTCAATAATCACGTCATCAATAATAATACTAATAATAAAATGTTCTTTCATCTTACCTCGGTACTTGTGTGGACGATTAATGCGCACGAAAAATGTGTGATCCGGCTTTTGTAGTGACAGCTCCACCAATGGTGTGCAGTTATTTTACCACGTTGGCCTGAACTTAGATCTGGGTTGGCCAAAGTGCAGCCTCCTGTGTAGCTGCTGCTGCTGGGGGAAATGAAGCACAGTTTATCTAAAAGTTAGAAATTAGATGACAAAGCATAGCACACTTCGAACTGATTCAATCTTAAATCCCACTACAATTAATCAGTTTTAGAGCAAAGTGTAGTCACACATACACACGGAGAAATACTCGGTACGGACATCCACGCTGCAAATTGTTTACTGAAACAGGAATAGAGTGCACAGTTCAAATAATACAATGTGATTATTTATCATCATCATCATCTACTGCATGGGTTGGTAATCTGTGGCTCTTTTGATGAGTGCATCTGGCTCTCAGATCAATCTTAGCAGTAAGATTGATTTATAGTAATAAACCTTTGCAGTGTATTCAATATTTGCGGTAAAATCATCAGCTTGGTTGATCTGGTAAGTTATCTTTTATTTCTGGCATGAAAAGTGAAAACAAAGTCAGTCCATTTTGAAGCGACACACACGTCTCACGCTGAAAGTATAAAATAAATCAAATGGTAATGATGAAAATTCAAATAATCACATTAATTAATGACAGACCTCCTAACATGCGTACCTACCATAAGGACAGCAGAGCCCGACTGTTGCTCCCCGGGGTGAACGACCCTGATCCACAGGGGTGCTGCATTTAATGACCGTATGATAAATCGAGATTTCCCTTACGTGGTGTGTAATAAACTGTTTTTTATGGCAAGTCGTACTATACATGTATAACTCTGTTACACATTTTTATCCATGCATTATTTTTTTGCACTTCAGCCAATCGCATCAAATTATTTAATTATTTGGTCTTGTTTAAAAAAAATCCACACATTTCGTTGTATTCCCGACCCCTGATCTGGCGTTTACATTCACCCCCTCCCCCCCAGTTACCAACTCCACGCTGAGCAGAGTGGGACAGTGGCGCAGGAAGATAAACAGCAGGCTCGGATTTCATCACAGCAATGAAAGAGTGCAGTGTTATGCAACTCCGAGTCTTCCAGATATCTGGATTGTGCTAGGAAAAAAAAACCCTCCCCAAAGAAACAAACACAGATGAAATCCATCTGCGTTATCGTCTATTGTCACAGCGTCTCTGTGGTTTAGCTGACTCATGAACTTCATACGTTTTGCATTGATAACAAAAGATTAGAGCACAGTATCAGTCAAATGAAACTTCTTTACAATTAGGTATAATGTGTGGAAATTGCTCGGAATCACCACAGATTATATGCCTCAATCTGGGATTGACCGACACTTGAAGAGGTACAAGTTAGATGAGAAGGAAGTCACATCTGAAAAAAAAACATATATATATATATATGACTGGATCATATGCTGAAATACCACATCAGAAAATGTACATGTACTTTCAAAATATTATTTACTATTCACTTATGCACATCACAGTGTTTCAGATACTCATCAAGGTGATTATAAAATAGTGAACAAATACTTGAATAACACAAACTTAAACATTCTTATGAGGAGTTTGTGGTCGCAGTCTCCACCTTCAGGTCTACAGCGGAACATGTGCTTAGTGCTGACCATCGTTAAAGCAGAAAGTAAAACAAGCCAAGTCAATTTTTTTTTTTTTTGCAATGCTGTACATAGCTTTTTTTCCCATAACTTTAAATACAGTACATTTCCTTAGCCCTGATGGATGAATAAAAGGAATCACAATGTTCTTGTACAGTACGACTGCTATTTGATGTGTACCACGTTTACATTAAAGAAACAGGAAGTTCTAAAAAACATTCACATTTCTGTCCTTTTTTCTTAGAAACCCATACCTGCTTGCTCAAGAATTTCCCCAGTTTGTCAACAAATTTCCATAGTGAAAGATCTAATCTGATCTACTACTGTTTTACATACAGCCTTACTGTACAAGTAGAAGCTTCAAATCTGATCAAGTTAATTTTTAACAGTGCAACATATCTGCAAAAAAACATGCCGTAAACAAGAGCTTGTCAACCTTCAACATGAAATAATGTGAAAATTTGTGTGTATTACGGAAACAGGCGTTAGAGCAGGCGTTGGCAAACTTTTTGACTCGCGGCCCACAATTGTCGTAAAATTGAACGGGCCAAATCAGGAGCAGATAGATGGAGCTTTCGTGTGAACTTAGATAAATGACATGTAAAAGTCATGCATAACGCTTATGCTAAAATACTATTATTTTCAGCGCCATCTATTGAGGAACATTGGGTATTGCAGGGAAAAGGCAGAAGTTTAATGATAATATAAATAAATCATATAATTTGGAAAAGTTTGGCCGCATCCGGCCCCCAGGCCTCAGTTTGCCGACGCCTGCGTTAGATGAACAAAATGCAGAGACAACATCACAAGTGTGATTAAAACTTAAATATTAATCTAGAATTGCTATTTTTAATAATACCTTTCAACAAAACAAAACCCCAAAAAAAAACCAAAAAACTATTGATGTAAAAAATGCCCAAAACACAGGTCGACCTTTGCCCCGTACTCTAAGGCTACAGTACGAAACTAAACACACTGAGTGCAGTGTTTGGTTCCAAAGTAGTTCCAACAACATTGAAAATAGAAAACTGTTTAAACACTTATACATGTTGGTCCTTCATTTAACTTCTCTTGCTCAGTAGCTCCTTCAACATTGTAAAATAGAAGCTTTTCTTTGTTGTTTATTCCTTAAAATCCGTTGGTTACGTTTGTACGGACAAAATGACAAATAATGTAGAATAAACATATAGATCAGTATGTGTTATGGATCCGTCTTAACTCGTAATTTTTTTTTTTAATCTTAGCTTTTACAAAAAAAAAGATTACTCACCAGCCTCTGAATATAAGTTAAATTTAACTTGTCCCCTCTGGATAGAGGGTCACAGTCCAGGGACAGAATGGACTGTGAGACGATGGCTTTTTGCCATCATCAACTCACATCACCCAGCGTAGTGATTTGGCACAGTTTCAACCCTCAACATGTTAGACTGGGGCAGCAGGTGGATTTAAACCTGCACCTACTGCATCCTACTGCATCTACAACGACTCCACACTCGTTACAATTAAGTCATATTGCACAAAAAAATATTTAAGTATATGTATATTTTTTTCTTTTCAGGTATTTTTTTTTTCTGTACATTCCTCTTCTCTTTTGCTTAGTCTTCTTTTGCCTAGTCCTTTGCTCTGGCTTCACATTTTATTTTTCATTCTCAAAGATGTTATTTGTGTGAAGTCCACCCTGGTCCAAATACTAAACCTGATTTTGAGCCAACCATTAACTGGCTCTTAATTTAAAACTTACATACGTACTTTTATTACGCACCTGTGGTTTGTTCTGACGACAGACCACAAAGTGGTTATTGTTTACAAGATAAACAAAGTTAAACAGTTACTTCTTCCATTTTGTTTCCTTATGTATTAGTTACTGTTCACTTGCTGTGACAGGGGCAGAATGAGTCTAGTATTTTCAACATTTCACTTTTCTCTATTGTTATTATTATTGCCAAAAACTTCACAGCTCATCAATACTTCTATTTACATTTTGTAAAGATTGCTGTTCTTCAGTAGAAAAAAAGGTTTTGGAATCACTACAACATTTACAATTCTTACGCCATGTGTGGGAGGCTAACAGGCATAAATAGGATCACAGCAAATTATTTAATTATTTTCATTTGAAATACTGAGAAGATGGTTCATCTTCTCAGTATTTCTGGTCTGTGGACCATTAATGGTTGGTGGGTCGTTTGGGACTAGGCCTCAGTGAAAGAATTCATGATTTACTTAACTTAAAGAGAATACAGTGCAGACTCAAATAATAAAAGAATAAAGTCAAACATGTATTTTTGAAATTGTACTTTCTAAATAAAACATCTTTTAGACTTTCTT